AATTTTATAACCATGAAGTCGCCAACTGCGACCGCGCAAACGAAACCGGTCGAAACGGCTGTCACAACGACCCCAGTTCGGCATAAGTAGTCATCGAGAACGGTCGCATTATCGGGCGCTCTCGTTTGTGACACAGTTTTTTGGCGGTATTTCCGCGGAAAATAGTCGGACTCTTTTGTGGGTGGTATGTGCGGAGAGAGTGCATTTTTCTGTATTGTTGTGTTTTTGTTTTGTGAAGATAGGGCAAAAGGATTAGCAGCTACAGAGACTTAAGGTTAGAGAAATTGCATAATTATTGAGAGGAAAAGTTCGGGTAACGGACCTTATCGGCGGCTTTTTCTACCTGCTCGGGTCGGTGATCCGACCTTTTTTCGAGATCGCTCGACCCTTCGGCTAGGCGGCAGTGCCAATGTGAACTTTTGTTTGGTCGGTTGCAAAGTGCGACGTTGCCGCTGTGACATTTTTTCCTTTGCAGGAATTTTTTGTTTTCTTTTCGGCAAGGGGGAAATTTGGTAATTTCCTCAGTTGATTTGTTGATTTGGAGTTTGGACTTATTTTTTCTTTTTTTGCACGCTGATGGACCTTTCTTGTTTGTAATTGTTTGGTGATATTGTGTTTTTACTATTTTTGCTTAAATTAGGTATTTAGGAGTGCGAGACTGATCGCTGCGTGCGCGGAAGGAAGTGCGCGACATCAATCGGTCGGTATATAGTTATCGGAGAGTAGCGGACAAACGGTGCGTCGGAAGTGTGGCGTCACAAAGAATTTTGTGCACGGCGACATCGCCCCTACCGATACTCGGTGGCAAATAGTTTTTTGGATTTTGACGAGTAACAACAGGTGTTACAGAGGTGGAAGTGGTGTCCTTGTGTTCGTACGAGGAAGGGCTACACTTCTCCTTTGACACATTTTCGTCGCGCTCTAGCGGCGAAACAGTGCGTCGGAGCGGGGTCACCTCAAAGGGTTTTGTGTTCGGCGGCATCGCCCCTACATTTTTTTTTTTTCGTGTTCGTTTTTGTGTTCGTGTGTCTTGGAGCCCCTGAAGCTGTGCATGCAGCATGAGTAAGCGCGATCGGCAGGGCAAAGGCAGGGCCGTCGTGACTGACATTATGATGGATAGTGGGTCGGAATCCGGGGGAGAGGGTGGTTTTGTGCGGCGGGATAGAATTTTGAGGTCGCCGGTCGACTCTCAAGTGACACGGTCGACATCTTCGGACGACAGGGTCATGGAGAGCCCTGAGTTGGGAGGTGCGAAGCGTCCGAGGACGGACTCGAAAGGAAAAGTTCTGGGTCGACAGGAACGTGAGGCCCATGAGAGCGGCAGCAGGTCTCTGGGTCGACATGAACGTGAGGCCCATGAGAGTAGCAGCCAAGAAGATGATATTATGTCGGCAAGTGAAAATAGTTATAGCGTGCATGGTGATGATTTTATTAGGCGTATGGGTAGGGTTATTGCGGAGAGCCGCAGTGCGATAAAGGTAGCCATCTCTAGGCAGTCGCCAATTAGGGCAGGAGATAGAGAGGCTCTAATTATGGCGGGTGACAATATTCAGGTCATATTTGAGGAATTGTGTAGTAATTATAATCTGGTGTTGAAGTCGAGCGAGGTTGAGGGTGAGAGTGGGGTTCAGAATGGATGTTGTACGGACATGCTTGAGAAAATTTGCGGCGTGGTCGACGGATTGAAGGCTGAATTTGCTGCTCTTAAATCGATTGTGTTGGAGCCGGTTAAGTCGGTGCAAAAGCCAGGTGCTCCCTTCTCGGTGCAGGATCGGCTGAGTTATGCGGCCAAGTTGAAAACTGTACCTGGGACACTGAATAGGTCGGCACCCATAGCCAGCAAGGCAGTGAAACTGAATCAGTCCGGAGCGGAAAGTGGGTGGATTTTCACGTCGGGGGCAGAAGGTGACAATTAGGAAGGCTTTCTAGAGATTCGGCGTCATAAAAAGAAGAAGTCTTACGCGAAAGCGGTTTTTTCGGGAGGCAGCAAGGCGGTCAGCAAGGACGGCTGGAAGACTCCTCCACCTGTGGAGGAGTTTGAGGTCAAGGTGCCGGCTATGGCTGAAGGATCGGCGTTGGATTGTGTCAGGGAGCTAGTAACCCAGGGCCGAACCAGCGGTTTTCAAAGAGTCGTAAAACTGAGGGATGGGGGGGTTGTATTAAAGTGCAAGGATGGGCAGCAGAAGGAGGAGGTGCGGGCAGCTCTTAATGACAAGGGAGTAGCCAATATGGATGGAGGGCCGAGGAGGAGGCCAATCTTTATGCTCAGAGCCATACAGAGGGGTATGAACAATGATTACATTATTTCTACGTTGGTGCAGGAGAATTTGGGCATAAAGGAAAAAGTCGCAGGTGTGAAAGGGGGGCAGGCACCGATGCGGGTGCTTTTCAGGAGAGGGTCACGAGCTCCCTTTCGGGAAAGCATCGGCATCGAGGCGGATCCTAGCGTGTTCAGGGAAGTGGTCCAGGCTGGAAGGGTGTGTTTCGGGCTGGAGCTGCATTATGTTGACGAGTGTGAGGATGTAGCCATTTGCAGGCGTTGTTGCCTGTATGGTCATACTCGCGCGGTCTGCAAGGAGCCGCCGGCATGCGCAAATTGTGCTGGGGAACATGAGACCAGGGAATGTGACGACAGTGGGGAACTGGAATGCATAAATTGCAGGAAAGCTGGCCTCACGCAGAGGAGACACAGGGCCTGGGACGATAAGTGTCCGGTACGCCTTCGCAAGAGGGAGCAACAGAAGGCGGGTACCATGTACACATGAATAGTTGCCTGAGTTTTCTGCAATGGAACGCAGGGCGTGGAAAGGAAGCGTGTGTGTTGTGTGAGAGGTTTGTTGTGGAACAGGGGGTGGATGTGGTGGTGATTACTGAGCCGTACCCTTGGATGAGTACATGGAAAGGTTTTCGTTTGTTTGGTGGCGGCAAGGCCAAGATCCTGGTCCGGAAGGGCATTTGTTCCAGGTTAGTCTCTACCTTTTCTGGGGATAACACAGTTGGAGTTGCCATCGAGACTGCGGGTGACAGGCGTGAAATTACTGTGGTAGCCCTGTATGATGAGCCTGGGGGCTGCAGGAACAACAGGTTGGAAACCATCAAGAATAGTTTGAGGACACTGGACCGGGTCGTGTTAGCAGGAGATTTCAATGCCAAGCACGAGGTTTGGGGGGGTCAGGAGAGTGATACTAGGGGGACTGCCTTACTCGAGTGGGCTGTTAGGGAGGGGTTCAAGCTCGAAAACGAGCGGGGATTGGCAACCTTCCAGTCCACTAGAGCTGGATTGACCTCACATTTACCTCCGGTGTTGAGGTTGTAGGTTGGAAAGTCATTGACAAGGAGACGCTCAGTGATCACCGGTATGTAAGATTTGGGGTTAAGGTAGATAAGGTCAAGAGAAGAGGTTTTCGTTGGGTGGAAGATTTTGAAAACACGGATAGACTCCGGTTGGGGAAGGAGCTGATGGGGGTCCCTGCCTTCGGGCTGGGGCTAAGCATTAGAGCTTTACTCGAGGCGGAGATTGAAAGGTTTTTGAATGAGGTTGGTGGTGTTGGTAGGAGATGTATAAAGAGGGTGAGAGTAGTGGAGGCAAGCATGAGTGAGTGGTGGGACAAGGAATTGCAGCTGCAAAGAAGGCGTGTGAATAGGGCACGGGAAAGCTGGCAAAAGGCAAAACAACTTTTGTCGGAAGACCTACAGGTAATGCCACGTAACATATATAGAAGCCAGAGACGTGTCTTCAAGAAGCTGATCGCGCGAAAAAGGTTGGAGTGGGCTGAAAGGGAGTGCGAAAGTATATGCGAGGACAATCCATGGGATAAAGTGTGGCGTATAATGAAAGGCAAAGGGGTCTCACGGCAAATTCCCGTTGTTGATAACAATGGGAAAATCTTGAACGGACAGGAGAGGGATGCCTTCCTGATTAACAAATATCATCCGGAGTTGAGTGAGAGGGAGGGTGAAATTTTGGAGAGTATGGATGATTATTGGAATAGAAGGGGTGAATGTTGCGATAAGCTAGGGGAGGAAGAGCTTCGGGAGGCGTTGTGTAGGATGCGAAACAACAAAGCCTCAGGAGCTGTTGGCATGTCGGTCAGCTTTTGGAAGTATGTATGTGAAGAAAGAGCGAATGACATAAAAAGCATGTATGGACAATGCCTACAATTTTCATATTTCCCGCTTGTATGGAAGCGAGCCAAAATGGTSTGGTTACCCAAAGGTGCTGGGGGAGTGCGTCCCATCAGTCTGATGCCAGTTTCTGGAAGGCTCTTTGATAAGATCTTAAACAGGAGACTACAATGTCGCCTTGAGTCTGCAGCCGGTCTGGATTATAGACAATTTGGTTTTCGAAAGGGTGTTGGCACGGTGGACGCTGTGGCAAAATTGGCAGGGCAGATCAAGGAGGGCAGGGAGGCTGGTAAGCATCAATTGTTGGTGCTGCTGGATATTAGTAACGCCTTCAATATGGCATGGGCACCGGTGGTGAGTCAGGAGCTGGAAAGGGCTGGAATAGACAAGGGTTTCATAAAGATGTGTTGGAGTTTCATGAGAAACAGGTTTGTCCAAAGTGGTAGTGTGATTCGGTCAATTGGGAAAGGGTGTCCGCAGGGATCTAGCTTAGGCCCCACTTTATGGCTAATGGTTATGGAAGGATGGTTTCGCGTGATTGATCGGATTGAACAAAGTAGTATGAATAAGTATCGAGGAAAAGGGCTAGGTACAAATGTGGGTGTGCGAATGCTGACGGCTCAGGCGTACGCTGATGATCAGGTGCTGCTGTTCAGGGCCGAGTCAGCAAAGAAATTAGAGTGCATGTTTAGGATGGTCTGGGAAGAGCTTAATGTCTGGGCAAAGGATGTGGCTGTGCAGTATAGCGCGGGGAAGACCGAGGCGTTGTTTCTGCCGGCCAGGGGCAAAATTCGGCCTCCGGTCCTTACTGCGGGCAACTTGCGGATAATTCCATCTGCAGTGGTTACCTATCTAGGAGTGATACTGGACGCCAAATTGCTCTTCCTGGAACATGCCAAGAGTGTTCGAGTGAAAGTTGGTACGGTGTGCGTGAAAATCAAAGGAATTCTGAGGAACAGAAGCCTGGCAGCGAAGGAGGTTGTGTGGTTGATGTATGAAAGGGCCGTGAAAAGCGCAATTCTGTATGCAAGCGAGATATGGGGGGGAAAGGCGCTCGACTCAAGAGTCAAGAAGCAGTTAGAGGCATCTCACAGGCTTCTGCTCCTGGGCATGGGAAGGGTGTACCAGACGACCTCTACGGAAGCCCTGCAGGTGGTGTTCGGCTCACCCCCGGTGTGGCTGGAGTGTGTGGGTAGGAGTAAGTTCTATATTGAGTACGATTGCAGAGTGAACGAAGGAAGGGCAAAGGAATCTGAGCGAGTTCCCCCGCACCAGAGGATAACAGAAGTTGCTTGTGGTGAGTCTCCTCACGTGGAGGAGGTGGACTGGCAGGTTTGGTGTGATGCCTCGGTTGAAGGGGAAAAGGGAGCGATTGGGGTTTGGTGTGTGGGTACGACTACGGGAGAAGAAGTCAGGGATGAATGGGTTGAGTGGGGCGGAAAGGATCCAACAAGTATGGAGGTTGCGGCCATTGGAAAGGCTCTTGGGATTCTGCGCTCTCTGTGCAAAGAGCGGGAAGGTGCGGTAGTAAGGTCAGATTCTCGGCAGGCCATCGCTGCTCTCGAGGATTATGAGTCTCGGTCAATGGCGGTGGTGACAACACAGAGGCTACTGCATGATTTAAGGGACAGTGGCATCAGAGTCTCGATCTACTGGGAGGATCGCAGGGGTTCTGCTGGCGCGGTCGCTGCCGACAAAATCGCCAGTGGCGCGCTATGGGGAACTCCTGGTACTGAAATGGTGGCCACAATCACCAAGAGGCAGGTTAGGAGCCTGATGAGGTCCTGGGTTATGGAAGAATGGCTGAGACTGTGGAGAAACAGTAGCAAAGGGCGAGAATTGTTTGAAGTGTGTGATATGGTCGGAAAGGGAATGCTTGGTATGAGCAAGAAAGCACTGCAGTTAGCAACGGGGCATGGAAATTTCCGTGCCTACCTTGCCAGATTTAAAATCCGGAACGGTGGTGAGTGCGAATGTGGTCTTGGCGCTGAGACGGCTCAGCATGTCAGGACCGTGTGCATGAAACCAGTCAGGGAAGCCGCTCGGGAGTGTTTTGATCCCGAGACTCCCCGCTGGCGCTTGAGAGGAATGAATGGGCGAAGGGATGAGGATATGGTTAAAAGGTTTGAAGAATTTGCAGAAGTAGTAGTCAGTGATGATGATTTTGAATAGCGTCATGGCCGCTATAAAACATGATTGGCGCTGCCTAGAATATCGGGATGTTAACATGTAATCGTCGGTCGTTCTTTTGCTAAAACAATTCACCATGTAAGACTTTGTGTTGTGGAGTGCTTAATTTACGCAACGCAGATTTAGTACGTTAAGATTAAGCCTTTACTCTAGACTAATACTTTACAGGTCAGGTTATCTGTGACTGTTTCCGGATTCCTGGCCCAACTTTGCTAGCTGTAAGTAGGGTAGGTCATGCGCGTCAAGTGATCTACGTTTGTGTAGGTCATTTGGCGTTGCTGTTTTCACTTAGGTTAGGATAGCTGGGTAGGCATAGTTAATAAGTTGACTCGAGGTCTGCGAGTTGTAGCTGGTTTTATAACTATTTTATTGTTTGTATTTTGCAGTTGCATTTTTGGTTATATAAAATAAAGGTCATCGGTGTGGTTGCTGTCTCCTATTTTGACGTGACAAGAAAGTGGAAGATGTCGGACTAGACTTGAGGCCTGGGGGTTTTCTCTCGGTGCTTTCTTTCTTGGCTCGTTTGCTTGGCATGTGGTTTTGCTGGAGAGTGGTTTGAATATGGCCCAAAGGCATCAGCTAGGGGGGCTGCCGCAAG